TCTCTTGGCATGACGAAGATCAATGCGCTCACCATTGTCTCGGACAATATACCGAGCACCCGGGTGTTCATTCGGACCGTTCGAGACCAGAGTCTGCAATTTCTCGATGTTGTAGGGTGTGACAACCTCGGGATAAGTCAAGGTTCTCGCGATACTCTTCGGAACACCGACCTCCTCAAGAGACAAGTTGGGGTCACCAGTAATGACAGTACGTGCAGAGAAATCCACACGCTTACCCATCAAGTTCTGTCGTAAACGACCCTCCTTACCCTTCAAACGACTCCGAATAGCCTTGACTGGGCGATTCGACTTCTGCATGGCCTTCGGCTGACCAGCGATATCGTTGTCCATATAAGTGGCGACATGGTACTGCAAGAGCGACTCGAACTCGCGCACGACGTGCTCTGGGGCGCCTTCCTGCTCACAGCGTTGAACATTCTGGTTGGCTCTGACAATTTCAGCCAGCTTGTATGTCAGATCATCCTCACCACGCTGGCCGCTGGTGCTGCCGCCGACAAGCACACTGGGACGAACAGGAGGAGGGGGAACCGGCAAGACGGTGATGATCATCCACTCAGGACGGGCATAGTCATTGCTCAAACCCATGATACGAACGTCCTCGTAAGAGATGTTACGGAAAACGTTCAACGCAACCTGCGGGGTGATAACCTTCTTCTCAGGTTGCTGCATGTCCATCTCGTCCATCATCTTATTCGGCTTCCACGTTCCAACAAGAGTGATACCTTCCTTACGAATCTGAGGTTGGGCATTACCGCAACCACCGTGCATCCGAACGGGTTTGGAGTTCTCTTTCGAGAAGGGCTCGTCATCGTCCGGGGGAGGGTCGGCTTCGCAGATAAGAACGTCTTTGGACAGTCGCCAGATGTGGTCGAATCGTCTTTTGGGGTCTCGCATGCGCAGGGCTTCTAAAAACTTGGGGTCGGACTGGTTTCATGTCAGCAAATATGCCGTGATAGATTTGCCATCCCATAAGGGATGACTAACCGTATTGGCTTTGATCTTGCCACAGTTGTGGCAGACCGTCTCAAGCAGCTTCTTGATCTTAGTCAAGAAACCTGGAGCAGAGGTTAGCAAGCGTACAACATGAGACTAAAATCCCCCTGGCTGGCCGATAACATACCAATATGATAAACCGGTGTGGCAAGCTCAATATGTCCGAAATGACCAGGACACTCCTTCTGGCCTTCCTCACAAGTTTCACAGTTCCATTGCCGATCGATTGTTCCCAAGCGTGGGTCGTTCAAACCCTTTGTGCGCGGCCGTTGCCGTTGATCATCCTGTTTGTTGTGTTACCGCGTTAGCGTTTTGCCACGTTCAGTCGGTGTGGGCGGCACTTCAGGAAAAACAAACCATCGTCTCCGGATATTCAACATGGACCACACTCATCCGCTTGATCTCCTCGGGTGAGAACAAACCAAACTGGATCTCCTTGATGGTGCGCAGAGGCGCCTTGGAATAGGGAAAGTACACGTTCGCCATGATGGTGGTTGATGTCGTCGGTTGATCGTTCTCCGGGGGTATGCGATGACGAAGGAGTCGAAATATGACCGAGCAAGACAGAAACTGACGTGTCGGAAGCACTGATCTATAGACAGTCTAAATGGGCTGAAGCGACGATGCAAATGTTTGCGAGCAAACTGGCCGGCCTAGGCCTCTGGCAGCCCTTGCCACGAGGGCGCCTGCGACCTTATCCACCGACTGCGCGAAGCTCGAAAAGGGCGGGAAAAAAGAGGGTCACGGTCGATCTTGGCGATATCTCCAGCTCGGAAAGTGATATCGCGATGCAAAGCGCGATGGTCGGGGTTGTTGGGCGATGGACAGGAGGCGTGTTGAGGTGATGAAAGGGAGACGGTTGGACGTCAGGTCAGTCGGCGATGGGGCAACGAGTTTTCTGAGCCGCAAGCTAGCGCGACCATCCGGCCCTTTAAAAGTCCGCAGCGCTAAACCCATAGTGGGGCAAATGTGAGGTGGCAGTAAAACTCTCCGCCACTCAGAGTGCAGTTACAGAACAATTACTGGGGAAGGCAATTGACAAATTTATGTGACCTCTTCACCGCCTGCTCGTCGCTTTATTTCCCCTTCGGCTTCAATTCACTTTGCCAGCCGGTATTTCCCATTCCCCGCCCGGCTTGATTTCATTAAATCTGTGGCTATTGACTACACTGGATGTTTGCGCCCGAGCGAACCTCCCGGCCTTCTTCGCAGGCTGGGAACTTACCGCCTCTTTTGTCGTTTGACTTGCTGGCTCTGACTTGACGCTTGCCGAACTATTCTGCGTGAATCTAGCATCATGAATTTGTCTCTTGTTGATCCCTTTGTCCTAGCTCAGGATTATCCAGACACGTTGACGGAGAAGCTGAGTATGTCGCACTTCATCATTCTTCTAAGGTGTGATCACTAATCCTACATCAGGAAGTGGACATGCGACTTGTCTGCGGTTTAATCGCAAAGGAGACTATCTGGCGTCTGGACGGGTTGGTTGCCAACAACATGCGGGGATTGCTTAAGATTAAATCAATAACCGTGTCCCAGGTTGATGGAACAGTAGTCATTTTTGATGTGGAAACCAACGGGGTTGCGCGAAAGCTACGAGGTCATACCAGGCAGATTCAGTCATTAAGGTAGCTCATTCACACACATCCCCCCTCGGCGCAATCCGCCGTACGCACATTGATACTAACTACAATCGGTGTACAGTTGGTCAAGAGACGGCCGTTATCTTCTGAGTTCTTCTCAGGACTGGAAATGTATTCTATGGGATTTGAAAGATGGCTCCCGGGTCCGCACCGTCCGCTTCGAAGCACCCGTTTATATCGCAGAACTACACCCTTATAACCAGTATGACAGCCCTTCTATTGCTTAGCGGCTAGCATATTGCTGACACGCCCCTCTTGCAGCTTGCTCTTTGTAGCGTCTCTTTTCGAAGATCAGCCTGTCCTCGTGGATGTTTCGTTACCCAAGCCCGTCAAGCGCATCCTTCCATCCGCTCCATTTCGCCCTCCGCCTCCAAAGAACGAAGAAATTGACCCCGCCGTTGCTGCGAAACAAGCAGCTCAAGATGCGAAACATTCCACGTGCGTTACGATCTTCACTGCTTTAGGAAACCATATCATAGCAGGTACATCTAAGGGTTGGATCAATATTATTGAGACACAAACCTGTACCACAATACATTCCACTCGGCTCTGCAATGGTGTGGTGATCTTACTTCGCCTAGCGAGTAACGGTCGGGATCTACTAGTCAACAGCTCTGATCGCGTGATACGCACAATACTCATGCCGGATCTCTCGCAACTGGGTATCGATCTAGAGCCTACCAACATCAAACTCCAAGTGGAACATAAGTTCCAAGATGTGGTGAACCGTTTGAGTTGGAACCATGTAGCATTTTCTTCCACCGGGGAGTTTGTTACTGCGTCCACATTCATGAACCCTGACATTTATGTCTGGGAGCGGAGCCACGGCTCCCTGGTCAAGATTTTGGAAGGCCCCCGCGAAGAACTAGGAGTGGTTGAGTGGCACCCTAGCCGTCCGATGGTGGTTGCCTGTGGCTTAGAATCTGGGTGCATCTATACTTGGTCGATTGTGACGCCTCAGAAATGGTCAGCCCTGGCCCCTGACTTCGGTGAGGTCGAAGAGAACGTCGAGTATGTTGAACGTGAAGATGAGTTCGATATCCACCCGGCAGAGGAAATTCACCAGCGTCGTTTAGACCAGGAAGACGAGGTCCCCGATGTTCTCACAATTGAAGTAAACAAAGACGGCGCGGATGAGGATATTGTTACCTCATTTCGCATGCCAGTCCTTCTTGATATTTCGGACAGTGAAAGCGAGGATGATATCATCGCTGTTGGACCCGGGACGATGAGGAGACGTAGTCCAGGCGCAGCGCGAGACCGAACGAATGCTAACGGGGATGGGGAGAAGGACAGTGTAAGTGGCGGTAGGAACGGCAGCACACGAGGTCAGAAGGGTCGGCGGCGCTAAGTTGTACTTTGTGTGGGCTAACACACTGCGTTCTCTCACTGTTCTGAGTGTTGCTTCTGTCTTACTTTGCGAGTCATCTATTGGGTTATATGTCAGTTAGTGAGTTCTTGGCGTCTGGTAGGCTGTCTCAAGGGACATGGCATACTCTTCGATATACTTACGGTACATGATCGGTGGAGTTTCGGTGAAAGAGAAAATATTCAGTAGAACCCATTTGAAGGGCTTCGCGTTATTTTTTGAGCCCTCCGTTTTGCTTCTTTCTCATCTAGTTCATTAATGAGTACCAAATCAAAGGTGGTTTCGTCACAGGACCGCCACCATCATTGGAGATTGTTGGGTCTTAATGGAGTGGCTGGTGTTGAGAGGCCTCAGGGGGTCCGTCACCACGAGCACTCAGTCAACTGCCACGGTGGTGCCATTGCCGCAAAGCAGTCAGCCTTGGTTGCAGATGTTTCCAAGAAGTACAACATTGAGGATGATAGTTACTCCTGGATTCTGGCAAAGCTGATACTTTAGAGTCGTCGTGTCACTTCCGTGAGTCCCGACACCGGCATCTCACCCTCTTGAAGAGCTTGAATAATTTCTCAACTCGAGCAGTATTTCCTGAGACGGCAATCATCCTCATGGTGTGATTGACGATATACGTCGTGTTCGCGAAATCCTTGTGCCATTCGGCTGTCTGCACTAGAGTAGGCGATAATACAACGAAGATAGGCCTGCCTGCGTTCCTGGCATTCGTGCGTCAAACAAACAGTATTGGTAATGAGTTTAAGTCCATGAATGGTTCTGTGGACTCTGCTCGCTCTGGTGTATATGCAATTCAGTATGATCCCGTCAAGGAGACGGGATCGGTCGTCACTTATTCTCATCGAGAAAAAGGGAATAGAAAAAAGAAGTAAACAGGTAGGAGGACCCTCCCACAGAGGCTGTATATGGGTATCCGAAATGAAATTTGCATTACAGCCGGCGCTGCCGTAATTATTTCAGCATTTTCAAAGGGACGGGCCGCCCGGCTTCCGTGCCTGGTATATGTGTAAGATGTTGTAAGCGTGGATTTCCTTGTTGAAGGCCTGTGACTTAACCTCCGCCGTGATTTGTCTGATTCTCTCCAAGTCCCAGTGAAAGATGCGACTGAAAGGGGCGAGGCTGAGCGTCTCGATACTTTCAGAGATTGCAAGGTTATACCAACGGGCTACCTTTTTCTCATGTTCATCATGGTGCCAAGGGTTGAGAGGCAACCCCACCATCTGATGGTCGATTTGAGTAAAGCCTGCCTCCTCAAGGTGTCTGATGGTATCCCGGGAGCTGTGCGCTATGGGCCTCATAGTATCTTGTGTCGCCTGTTTCAGGTACTGGTACCATTCCCGGAGTGCCAGTCCATCCAGGGAGCGATCATCGCAGCGGGGTTCGAAATCTATTTCCACTTGTTCAAACCATGCCCCAGGCTGAAGATGCCTTAAGATTCGCTTGTAGAGATTCGGCCAGCCCAGAACACTGCCGGAACCCATCTGCAGGTGGATTAGATCCCAAGAATTCTCCCCAAGTGTCCATGGCGCCTCAAAGTCAAAAGGCGCATAGAACTCGCAGTTGTCAGGGTGGTTGGGAGGCTGTATAGGTGCTAGATCTACCCCAGCCACGAAAGCATTGGGATACTTATGGGCCACGTCAATGGCCCAGATCCCAGTGCCGCATCCCAGATCTAGGAATCTACCATTTGGAGGGTGAGGTGCGTAAATTAAGCTCTCGGACACCCGTGCTACCGTGAACAGCTTATGGAAGATATCGAGACGGTCCTGCTCCTCTTCATCACATGGCAGCGGGTAAACTCCTCTGCGATAACCATGATATGTTCTCCCATTTTCTTCATAGAAGAGCCATCTGTTTGGAGGCCTAAATCAAACGAACAACAGAAGGAGAAGATCCCTGAATTAGTCGCCCGATAGTTGTAGAATACTAGCGATTTTGCACAGCACGAGGAACAGGGATTTTGCGGGGGTGTGTGGGGTGCACAGTATGGGAAAGGGTGAAGTACCTGGTATAACGGCTTGTCTGATCTGGACCCCCATGACCATCATAAGGATCATCGTTGGGTGGGGGTTCTCGAGGAGGTTCTTGACCTGTGAGGACGTGGATGTCCATGGCCCCCGAGTTTTGCCTGGAACGGCCGGAATCATAAGATCCTAACCCTTGGTAGCTGTAGTTATTGCGATTCGGCGAAGCCATGGTGATTGGTGGGTGCAAAACTCGTCCGATTTCAAACATGAGACCCAGAAGTCCAGGAATCGATTCACTACGAAAGAATTCGACTTTTCCTGCTCAAGATATGGTAAGGACACAGGGGTGCGTTCAATCAAAGGCCGGCGTTCTTGGTTGACGGTAACGTAAAACGCCAATGTTAGCCAACAGGGTGTATGCAGGCTGTGGGTGATATCGGGGTATCGAAAGTCAGGTGGCACATAGAGGAAGTTGGAAGTTCGGCGCCGCAAATGAGCCAATGATTGGATTGACGAAAGGATGGCAACAACAAACTCGCCGAAGATATCCTCAGCGGAACCCAGCACTGGCCGTTGAAGGGAATTAAAGGAGTGGAAGAAAGAGGGGAGTGGAAAGCCGCAGAGTAAAAAGCCAAGGCAAGTAAGAATGATCCAAGTCCACAATAGTGTATTTTACCCCCAAGCTTGGAAATATGTATGAGAGCAAAGATGCACGCACACCCGTGCGCACACACACACACACACGCACACAGTCACACAGTGGAGAAGAGTATCCCCAAATCTCGGCCGAGGCACAAGGAGGAATGAGGATACTAAATAGGAAAAGGGAAAAAAAAAAATAGAATAAAATAAGTCCTCTCCCCGCAAGGACAGGAAACCGTCGGGGGAAGAGAACAAAAGAGAAAGTAGCGGTCACGGCAGCGGCATAGGCGAGAAAATAAGAATAATAAATAGTATCGATAACAACAAGTAGGAGTCAGGCGTTGCGAGGAGAGAAGCGACTAAAAGAACAACCATGGATCGGGGGAGGGACGATCGAGAATTAGGTCAATGGGACTGGATCATCGGATCAGAAAGGGAAAATCCGATCCCGGAAGTGAGAGCCCATTTAGACGGCGGAGAGGAAGGGGAGGGGAGGAGGAATACAGTAGAGGGCAAAGGAGAAAAGGCAAAAAGCAAAGCAACCCTGCCTTTAAGGTTGTTGCAGCCGCTGTCTTGACCCCGTTGGGCCCACGGGCGCGAAGGCGGGGCGGTTAGAGGGCCTGGGAAAAAGGGCTGGAATGGTGGGAAACGCAGGGGAGACAGACAGACAGTGAGAGGCAAAGAGAGAGTGAATGAGTGAGAGTGGACCAAGAGCAAAAGAGAGATTGGGTTTGGGAGAAGAAATCAGGGCAAGCAATAAGAAAGGTAAACAATCTGGCGGCTAGACTGGCTTCGATTTGGGTTTGAACTACTGCCAGTTATGAGACGTGGAGGTTCCAGAGGTTAGTGGTTTGTTGTAGATGGCATCTCTGCTGCTGCTGCTGCTGCTGCTGCTGCTGCGAGTCAGGATGTGGTCGAGTACCGACATGGGTTCAGGATGGATGCGTCGGGGATGGTGGGAAATGCGCCTGGCTATCGATCTGGCGCCTTCCGAGCATCATTGGTTCCCTCCGGAAGTAGAGCCCCTCCGGCAACCATGGAACATGGCTTCCTTAGCACCTCTGGGCAGCTACACGCGGATCACTAAGGTCCTGACTTGTCTCTGGCTCTCTGCTGTGAGGGTCTTTTCTTTCCAACAGACGTCCGGAACCTGGATCAATAATCCGGTATTGATCCGCTGCTGCCATGTTTACAATCCCTCGTGTCCTATCAATCAAGCGATCAATTCATTCATCAAACTATTTGTACCCCTTAGCGACAAATAAAAAATAAACGTTTGGATGGCGCTTCACTGCCTCCTCAGGGCGACACGTCCAACGTCTGTGTGCCTGCTGTCTGGTACCGATCCCAGGGTGGATGCACGATGTACTAGGTATGTATGGTTGGTACATGTTGACTAGCTTGCTAACTAACTTACTACTACCATAACATACAGACGCACTAACTAGGGAGTCTGGCTAGTGTTCCCAGGTGTTACCAGGGCGGTGCACCCGGACCTACATACTACATGCTATATCCACAGGGGACAATCCTGGACACATAGGCTGTCGGTATATCATACGCACAAAATACATACAGCTTGTATCCACCACGAGTTCGAAGCAGGTAAGTAGCTTAGCGTCTTCCCATTTGGTCTTTGTCTCTCTTTTATCCTTTTTTTTTTTCTATTTTTTTATTTTTTTCCTTTTGTTGTTCCGGTTTTTTTTTCATTTGTTTTTTCTCCCCTCTTTTTATTTCCTCTTTTGTTTTTGGCTCCCTTTTTGACCTCTAATTAGCATTTCCGACCTTTTGATTTTTCCCTTTTCCGGTTTTTCTTTTCCATATGCTTTTCCTCTTTCGGGCAGAATTGAATTTCTTTATATCGGTATCCTTCTCTAGTCTACCACTTCTTCTCTATCCTCAGCTTTTCCCTCCCTTTCCCTTCGCTTCCAAAAAGCCAAGAAGCAGAGCATGGATACCTAACTTCGGGTCGCCAAAAACCAGTTCTCACCCAGATTGATAACTTTGGGTCAGTTCGAGGCTGGCGGTAAATGATTGGTGTTGAAGATGTCGCTGGTATTCCGTCCTTCTAGTACGACACCCTGCCTCCCAACCGGTACCAGAGAAGATTCAACCCTTCGTCCCTTTTTTTTGCCTGAGGCTCTGATACGAGTTCCCATTGCCTCGGTTCGCGGCTTGTATGTATCCGTCTTACCAGTAACAAGACGAGCAAGAAAATAACGGTGATCACAATAATGGGGGATCATCCGGATATACAGTGAGTGTGAGGGTGTACCAAAAGGGGAATAAAATCACAGAGGAAAATGAGGGAAAATAGAAGAAAAAAAAAACCTGGGCAAGAAAACTCCACCAAAAGCCAGCTTGTCTAATGGCTTAGAGTAGGTTAGGGCAGGATCAGTTTGCCCGACGCTATAAAACGGAAGTTTGTGAGGGGGGAAAAGAATAATGAACCAAAGAGATTGAAACGAGCCAGGATCGAGGGAAGACAGCAACCATGGATGGGTCCTCAATCAAATTTAGCCCAAGTGACTTCCGGGCGGGATGCGGACCGTCTCCCACACTTAGTTGAATAAAGGAAAGTTTCCTCGGGGGAGCCACTAACGCACAATATCTCCGTGGGCCTAGCGGTCGCTGCCCGCATTCTCAGGCATGCAAGCGTCAGGCAGCGTTACCAACACTCTGGTTGAAGGATTTGAAGCTTCGGACGTGCTTCCCTTTCAACCCTCGCCCGTAGCGCCCGCAGCGCCCACCACAGGCAAACCAAAACCCGTTCCAACCCTCCATCGTTCAGGGTCACTAATCCCACGGCATTGCGTGCAGCCGCTCCGGAGTGGATCAATTTGCTGAGGGCGCTCCGTATCTGTCTCTCGTAGCGCTAGATACATTGTATCTCACTGGCCAGAGAGACAAGAGACTCAGACTCCTTACACGCACGCTGGTCGTTGGTTCCACTCAGGCTCCATCCTGGACGACTACTAACTAGTAGCCCGTGGCTGTGGGCATGGACATCATGAGTTCTGGGTCTACTAAGTATTGGACAAGACTTTCCAGGAAAGCCAGGAAAGGATCATGATCGGAGATTATCATGATACTCATCACATCATGACCTCGTTGTGATGATCAGGAATAAATCCTCAAGTGGGGGCATGTTGGGAAGAGAAAAAACCCACTCCTTCTGGACACCTCCCACAGATTTGAAAAAAGAAGGTTTTACTCTGTACTACTACCTCAATTATTCTCGGAATTCTTACAAGTGTTCCTCAGCCGTACTATCTATCATACCCACCACTTGGAAGATTAGTGAAAGTGTGGGAGGCTGGCTGGAAGGGGGCTACGTTACATCCAGCTATTCCTGGACAGGCTGCACCATGGAACTCAATATATCGGGACAACATGCTGGATCAGCGTTGGGAGCTGAGGCCTGTGATTCATCCCGAACGGTTGGACAAACAATATGTTAGGGGAGAGGGGGTGTGGAGGTCAAATAAAATAAGAATAAAAAAAAATAAAAATTGAAATTAAAACGAGGAAAGCCAGAAGAAGGCTAAATTCAAAACCGAACAAAAGATCCAAGGCTCTCTCTCTGTCTGCCTCTCTTTCTCTCACCCTCCCTCTCCCTCTCATTCTCTCTCTCTCTCTCTCTCTCTCTCTCTCTCTCTCTCTCTCTCTCTCTCTTTCCCAAAGAAGCAAAAATCAGAGAGAAAAAGAGAGAGAAAGAAAAAGAACTGGGCAGGTGGTGGCGGAGGAGGGATGGACGGTCAGCGCCGTGAGCCGGGCACACTATGTGCTTAGGTCGACGCATGTAGTATGTACTCCGTATGCAAGTTGTCCCTTCTGTACTCCATACATACATCGTACATGTGTCCTTCCAATCCATCCCATGGTCACCCGCCCGCTTGGCGCCCGAACCAGCCTGGCGTTTGGCCTAAAGGAACAGCAGTTGCCTTAATGTAGGAATCTCATGTTGATCGTTTCACCGCTTCCCAGACTCTCGGGTCGATGGTGATGATGCATGCATCATCCTTCTATGCGTTGTACTTGGTGCCTGGTCAAATCGGCTGTTCTCACTTGCTCGGCCTGCATACACCGGAGACTTGGGATTTCCCCTTCCCCTCTCTCCCTCTCTCTCTCCTCTCTCCCCTTCACACACAGTAATCACACGCACTGACGACTGGTTCTCGGTTCTTCTTACCTCTACTAGTCTTTCAATTTTATCTACTTGACGGCTGTGAACCATACAAGTCATGCCTTTTTATTTCATTTTTTACTGCATGTGGTACGGCTGTGCATCAAGTCATTCATTACTGGATGCGTCCAGAAGATAGGCACTTTTTTTGACGCTTGCTCCTCCGCGCTACTAGTACCTTCCTTAATGGCCACTTCACTTTCCCATTGTTCGCTGACAAGTCAACCATCTTACCCCCGACTTGAGTTCCACAAATCTTCGCAGACCAACATTGCTGCAAGGCTCGCATTTATTTACCTTAAACGACACAACCTAACAACCAAGGATTGATTTGGGAAGGAAGGAAGGAAGGGAGAGAGTGAGAGCTCTGGTTGTGTCTTCCCGGCTATCTCTTTCCTTTGGGGAATCATCACGGGGCACGTACTATACTAGCTGGCTTAGTACTTCAGGCCCCCCTCTCAAAATCCAACTAGATGGTTGGCAGCAATTACCGACCAGAAAATTTAGCCCATCGAGATTTAACTCGATCATGCAGTTCTGGGTTAATTACACGACCAGCAAGTTGATAGCCCCGATAGTTAGATGCGCACTCACTGCAGAACTATACCTGCCCTTCACCTCTACAGACCTACGGTGTTGGTTTCTAAGCAAAAGCCCCCCTGCTTGCTCCGACCTCAGAATGGAGTCGTCGTGGCATCATCCACCGTCGACGCCCGGCCCGGTTTCCAATGTTCCCCATCGGAAATATCAACCCATACGACTGCTGCCCCATGATTTGCCCAACCGTCTGGCCTTCGGAGTCGGCCGTTGGCCATCAACAATCGACCTTCCTTTCGGGGATGATGTTGGGACCAGTTGCGGTCTGTTCATAATAATAAAAGCCGATTTCTGGTGCCGTGCATTGCAAAGCTCTCGGTCTGTTGTGGCTGTTCTTTCGAAATCTGGTGACTATATTATACCTACTATTATGTAGGGAGGGGGTTCAGCTAACGCAGTTACCGTCCTATTTCTTGCATTCGTGTTTGCCTTGCGGAACGTGTCCGTCTACATTAAATACAGCTACTTTTACCGTTACGGTTTCCGTCCAATCAGCGAGGCATGGCTTGACATACAAAGGAGCCCCGATTATGAGGCTCACCATTGAACCTTATACAGACAAGGGTAGCTGAGTACTTACCTACAAAAAATCACATGGTATCTACGACTGGAGACTTTCAGTTACTAATGGCTACCGCCAGCCACAGCCACGAATTGATCCGCGTCCGGTCAGGCAAAACGGCAATGAGGCTTGAGGTATTATTAACAACGAATCTCCGAGAAGACCGTGAGTGATTTTCATTCAGAAAAAATTCTTAGCGGGCACGGTCCTCATCGCGCTCTCTAAGATGGTCTTGCACACTGAGTGGAGACTAAATGGCCGTGTCCATAAGTACTTAAATCGGCGTTTTATACAGCAAGGCGGGCGGTGCATGCCGCCTTCGTAGCCTAGAACGATGAACTAGCGAACGGTGACAGGCAAAGTGGAGACTTTTCCATCTGAAGAAATCACCCCTTTCAAGAGAGGAATTCTGCATGTCTTACCGCTCCAGGTAGGTAGATAGACCGCGTCGTGGAGGCTTCCTTATATGTTTATTTTTCTATGATAAATTCAACATCTATAGCTTATTAATACGGTTCATAGCTAGCTAGGCGCAATCAACCCATAGTGGACTTAGTCGAGATGTCATTAAAACAAAGAAAATATATTAGTAGTACAATTTAGAGGTGAAATTAATAGCATCACTGTTGATATGCATCGATTGCTATAATCCAGCAACTATCCTAGCATTCATCCAACTTCCTGTTCTTAAAATATTTGATGCGTAGCAGTACTTATTAAATAGCAACTCTGACGTTGCAACTCTGTCGGTGTTGTAGCAAACATGTCGCTGGCTAATATTTCTTGTGGTATCATGATCATGAAGTTGACCCGAGTATTTATATTCCATACTACCACACGTATATACCACCTAACACCATGTACAAACACCGACATCGCTATAAGTAGCATTCATATCCCTTCAATCTAGACCACTCACTAATCACTTACTAACCAATAGCTTCATAGCGACCAATACTATACCCCATAACAGTACAATGTATAGTAAGTAGTAGTGGCCTACTAGTCAGAGAGGGGAAGGAGACGGCGTGACCAGCATAGTCAGTCAGTCAATTTGAAATCCATCCATACTTCTCCTAATAATACTTCCTACTACTTTCTCCCGTTAACAGGGATTATGATCACAGCAAATGAATATATATATATGCACAATTATTACACTACCGCGCACAACCCACAAAAACCAAACCATAGATAAACATAAAAAATATGTAAAGAGAAAAAACAAAAATAGTCGCGCCCGGGATCGAACCGGGAACCTTCTCGGAACCTCATCAAATGAAAGAATTGACGAATGTGAACGAGAAATCATAACCATTAGACCACGCGACTGTGATTTAAAATTTGAAAAATTTCGGGCTATAATTCAGAAAAAGATTTGAACCGGACGACCCGACGGTTAGTTATCTTATCGCGGAGAAGGGAGTTTTTGCAAAACCAGCGAGAGCGGGCTTTGGATTAGATAGTTAACTCCGTAGTTAGATTTTTTTTGCAGATTGCGGCCTTCTCCTTCCTACACTATCTATCAGTCTCTATCTATCTATCTATCTATCCCTTCGCGGTCGTCGCATTTCTTTGCTTGTTGTATGTGTTGGGGGGATTTTACATAGCGGTTTTCTTTTTCTTTCTTTCTTTCTTTCTTCTCCCTTCTTCTTCTCTAATTTACATACGCACGCGCCGCTTGCAAATCACCGATCGATTGATCCATCCGTCCGTCGAGAATCAGTCGCATTCAACGAACGACCTACCTATCTACCTACCAACCAACCTACTTACCGACGCTACTACCTCCGAACCAATCCACCTTCCATTAACGAAGAAAAGAAAAGCAAATGGACGCCCAAGCCTACCTCCTCCGCCACGGCTGGTCCGGTCCCGGCAACCCACTCAACCCGAACCGACGGCCCGGCACACACGGCGGACTCGGCCTGACGAGACCGATTCTCGTTGCGCGACGCCAAGGCAACCAAGGCGTGGGGAAGAAGACGACCAAAGATCCCACGAATCAGTGGTGGTTGCGAGGATTCGAGGACGCGCTGAAGGGTGTGGGCGATGAGAATAAGAGTGCGGGGGATGCGAAGCGCACGCCGAATGCGTTGACGAGTGAATTGTATCGGTATTTTGTGAGGGGGGAGACGGTTCCGGGGACTTTGGGGGATAAGAAGAGGAAGGCTGAGGATGAGGATGATGATGATGGAAAGAAGAAGAAGAAGAAGAGCAAGGGAGAGGAGAGTAAGGAGGAGAGACGGGTGAGGAGGGAGGAGAAGAGGAAGAGGAAGGAGGAGAGGGCGAAGAGGAGAGAGGAGAGGAAGAAGAAGAGGGAGGAGAAGGAAGTTAGGAGGGCGGAGAGGGAGAAGAAGAGGGCGGTTAAGAAGATGAAGAAGGAGAAGGAGAAGGCTGGTCCTGAGGATGTGTATCCTACGCCGCCGGCGACGGAGGTGGAACAGACGGAGTCGAGTGGGAGGGATGAGGAAGAGGTGAAGAAGGACAAGAGGGAGAAGAAGAAGAAGACGAAGCGAGAGACGTCTGCGTCGGATGACGGGTCGAAGAAAAAGAAGTCGAAAAAGTCCAAGGATGAGACGGCGTCCTCGAATTGAATGTGGATGTATGGGAGAGAGGGATGCTCTTTGGCAGTTTATAGATAGATTCGACTTATAGATACCCATGGCTGTGCTACTTGGTTGTATATTTTCACGAACAATATTTGCATTTTCATTATCATTCTTTTTATCGTCATATCATCATGCTACTTCCTTCGCCTCTGTAGGCAGCTTTCCGGGCTTGCCGGAGAGAATCCATGGCCGTCTCTCCCAGAACTCATCCTTGATGATGTCGACATGGTCGACCACGACCTGCACTTTGCGACGCAGTTTGCGGATCTTTTCTTGCTGTGTCTTGGAGGGCATGTCCTCCTGTAATGGTGATGTCTCTTCCTGCACGCTGGAGTCTGATTTTTCCTCTAGTTGATACTGTACCTTGGTCAGTAGCCACACAGACGAAGCAGCAGAGACACACATACCTGGCGATATAAGACGCTGCCCTTCTTATAGATCTCTTCTTCATTATTATAGTTGATGCCGAACCTCTTGAAGAGGATCTCATTCTTGTCGGAAGACAGGGTGCCCTAGTCGACACTGTTAGCAGCAATAGCAACCTTTGAACACCAAAACTCACCTTTAATTCCAATTCAGCTTCTCTTCTATCCATCCCACCTTGCAGGACCATAGACCAGAAAGTCGTATTGTAAAGGTTATTGATATGACCTACAGCATATTAGCACACGATGAATGGAAACTGCGAATAGACAAAACTCACAATCCACCTGGCGCCAGCTCATATAATCCCTGAAAATTCTGGAATTCGGATACATCACTGCTCTTCCATCGAACGAAGGCAGAGCTGCTGGCTGCAGCGGCGTATCTGGGAAATACGTCCCCCATAGATAGATGTAATGCGCCGTGAAAGTTGACACAATTGTCGTTACTAGTTTACTGTATTCCAAGCAAAATAAGTCCATACTGCTAGTGGACATAAAATATTGCGCACGGAAAGAAGAGTAACTTACGCACTCCGCCGCTCAAATAATTGGCAGTTGGGATGAAAAGCGAAACTAATCTCAAGTCAATATCACCCCAATTGACCCGGAGCATGTCGCATCGTATACCTGTACTCATCGCTAATACCGTAGGCGATGCAAAGATCAGGAAGATCTTTCATGACGCCGACGGCTGCGGCATTCATTAGGTCTAGGGCCCGACGGTCATTGGGCTTTATGAAGCCATAATAATCAGAGAGTCTACATTCCGTTAGTTAGCGACATGTAAACAGCCAGCTCTTGAGATAAGGAGTTAATTCAGCTGCTAAGAGCAGTTTCGAAAGCACAGCATCATGTTGAAGCCTTGAGAGGGAGATGGATGCACTGACTTGTGGAAGCCTCTGCCATCGATCCGGACCACAATCCATGTATTGGGAAGTAGAACGTCCGGTTGCTCGAATGACTTGACATATTCATATCTGTGGCGGTTAGCAGCTGCTCTTTAAACTTTACTTAATACATAAGGAACTTACTTGGAATTTGCCATCTTGCCTTAGACAGCAGTATTCGGGACTGGCGATGATTGTTGTGCAGGAAAAGCCGTCGGGCTGGCGAGGGAGGATGAATCATGAAGATTTGGGTGGGGATGAGGGACGAACCGAACCGTCCCTCCACGGCCAGCGTTGCGCTGCTTTGCACCAATTGCTTTTAGCATCTCTGGTTGGTATAAACTACTTCAACGACAATATTTTCGACTAGAGCTTTCGCCTTTGATTACTATAGTAAATTGCAGGTTTACAGAAAAGTGGATCATATCAAGAGGATAAGAAAGGCATGCTATGTGCCACAAAATGACTTCTACCGTCACTAGCTAAGAAATTGAAAGAATGCCTAACGCCACACGGCAACCTAAAAAAAAAAGAAATGAAATAGAAAGAATGGATGTTGTATGTTCATGCGTGGATCTCCTCCGCTGCCTCTTCATCCTCCGCCTCGCTAACATGCTCACTGGGGCGCTCACTCGTCTCACTGGCGGCCTTATCGGACTTCCTGGACATGCGGCTAAAGAATCCCAGGCTGCTGCGAGTTGATCGGTCTGCCGAAGGGGCGCTGGACACGGTGCTGTCCACACTCTTGGCAAGCATCGCCTCGCTATGTGCGTCTTCGTCAATGTCGCCTTGCGAAGGGTCACCCTTCTTGGAGAAAAGCCCTGACCGGTCCTTCCAGGAACTGAACTTGCTGGAGCTGCCCTTTCGGGTGATCTTACGAATGAATGACTCTTTCGAGCTTCCATTATCCAGCGAGCCTGCGGAGGGCATACGTTCCAAGGATTCATACGAGTCGCCTGTGTACATAGAGAAAGAGCGAGAATCCCGCGAGGTGCGCGATTCGGACGGGGAGCCTTCTTCCATGTGGAAGTCAAAAGGAGCATCTAGCTCTCGGTCTTTCGCTGCCTCCTTCTCTTTGCTCTTGTCCGACCGCTTCCCGAAGATGGTCCTAAAGGAAGGTGCAGCAGGATTCAATTTTGGAGTGACTGGCCGATGAGAAGATGATGGCCGTGTACCGATCGGCGCCTGCAATGGCCGACCTTGTCTCTCGAACGAATCTTGGAGAAAATCTGGCTCCCCAGTAAGGCCCAAAGGTAGGTGACCTGATGAGCCGTACTGTGTAGATGGCCGGCGCGACTGCACCCGAGACCAGGTCGATGGGGAAGTCCAATCAAACCCCAAAGGACTTCGATGGCCTTGCTTTTCTGCCGATGGCCAACCGAAGTGACGATTATCGGTGGAGGGATGAGGAAGCTGGTTTTCGAAAGAGAAGGTCGATGAGGGCCGCGGAGACAACGATTCCCGGCGCACTGTGCCCAAGATGGAGGAAGGATCGATGGGGTCATGACGAGGACTGAACTGGTTGTATCCTGTGCTATGATCGGAGTTTTCACTCGATTTGAGCAGACCGTGTCCGCTGCCGAATCCAAACCGGCTGGGTGAGAAAATGCTGGAGATGCCTGCGCGACGCGAGGGAAGATGGTCGGAAGAGCTGTCTGTTGTAACACCTGCTGTGTTGCTCCTGGGGAACAGAGACATCGGGTTCGCCCAGTTGCCTGTATAGCTCAGCCGACGACGTCTAGCCCCTATGGGATCCATCTCCTCCAAATTACGGGGGAACGACTGACTTTGTCCTGGTTTCAAACTGCCCAGTAGAGGTGGCTCGTCTGCCAATGTCTTGCCGCGAGGACGGTGGAAGCCAAAGAGCCCCGAAAGCCTGCGCGACGCACTTTTAGGCGCCTCGCCTACATCCAAATTCACCGGTTGCGATTCAACATCTTTGGGCAGGGTCTGGTTCTCCGGACTAGCGAAGAGGCTTTCCGGCCTGCTTCCGGTGGAGTCTGGCGAAGGTGGCCCATGAGGAAACTCTAGCGCAGTGCTTGGTTGTTCGAGGTTGGAAAAGCGAGAACGGATGGCCGGACGGGGGAGTTCGGGCGACTCCTCGTCTCCGAGGAGATCGGACGGAAGAAGTGCGTCGGCGCGAGGGCTCATTTGAGGGTTTCCAAGCGACATATCCAAGTATCCCCTCGTACTATCCGACTGGCCCGAAAGGCTCGGGAGGGTCATTCCATTGTTGATGTTGAAGAAGGCAGAAGTCGGGCCAAAGGTGGGAGACCCAGTGGCAGGAGGGTTGTAGCTAATGCCACCTGAGAATGAAGGCTCGATGGCCGTGAAATTCATCGGAGATGAGACATTACTGGCGAGTGAGCTGCGGTGTCGACGTGGGCGAATAGTCGCAGTGTTGGAGAGATCAAGATCGAGAGCTGGGAGAGAAAAGGGTCCTGTGCTGCCGGTACGTTGGGTAGTTAGCCACTTCAGGCGCTCCTGCGCTTCTTGGTACTGCTGCTGAGCCTGTAGAGCCAGTTAGAGACTATGTCAAGAACCAAGCTATTGTAGATATACTAACCTGGGTATGGAGGTTGACAAGGGTAGCATAGCGAGCGTGAAGATTGCTCAATTTGATCTCCCACTGGCGGGCTCGCTCATTGTCAATGCGATCCAACTCCTTTCCATCCTCGCTATCTGCTTCCTGGTGGGTTTGCCTCTCCTCCTCCAGCTTCTTGACACGTCCGCCCTTGTCTTGGATTTCGTCATCGATGACCTTCATCTCTGCCTGCTCCTTGGCAATCTTCTCCCGAATCTCATCTCCGCGCTGCTTTCCCTCCTCTTCCAGCCGTGTCTTTTCCTCTTTCGACTCCGCTGCTTCACGGTTCATATTCTCAACCCGCTCCTGCCACCGGACGATATCGGACTTGCGCTTCTTACGCTCAGACTCCTTCTGCTGCAGGAGTCTTTCACGCTTCGCCTTCTCACTCTGCACTGTACGATTGACACTTTCCAGTTTGTAAACGTGCTTCTTCAGGTCGCCGCTCGCTTCATCCTTTTCTTTGACCCGCTTTTTCAGTTCGTCACGCTGTTTCTCAAGTTCCTTCAGAAGAGCAATGTGCTCGTCTTCTTCATCGGTAGTTTGCTTCTCGACGGTCTCGTTCTCGTGCTGCAGGGTTTTCAATCGGTCGGCAAGTTGTTCGAGAGTCTCGTCGTGATCGTCGTTCGTGGTGCTCTTTTGTATCTCCTCCGCATGGCCATGCGAGACCTCCGTCCCGCTCGCTGCAGGAGACGGTTTCCGCCCGGCTGAAGATCGCTTGGCTTGGAGCTGTCCTCCGCTGTGCTCCCGAGACATCACGGGCGCCGAGGGGGCAGCAAGACCAGCGGTAGACCGGGGGATGGACGCCCGAATGGTAGGATTGCCGACCGTAGCATTCTGTTGGGTTTGCGACAAGGGCAGAGACTTTGTGCGCACATGGATGATTGCACTTGGGGTTTGGAAGTTCGCAGCACTAACTGAAAGAACGCAGATATGATAGATACTTCCGGGAACCAAGTTCAGGATTTCGACTGCAGTTTCCGCTCGTTTCGATTCGCCCACTGACAACTCATTAGTATCAACAGAAAGAGATTCGAGGGAGCCATTGCCGAGGGTACCCTTAATGCCGTTCAATTGGATGATGTGCTTGTGGATGGAATTGTGGAATTCGGGTTGTTTCCAGGCGATGCGAATTTCACGGGCGGTAATCTCTTCGAGGGTGACCTCTGGTGGCGGAGGAATATCCAGACCGAGCTTTTCAACTAGGACGTCGTTGGGGGTCTGGCAGACCTGCCACGCACGGTACAGTAGCCTTTGAGAGAAGTTAAGTTTAGTTGTGCGCTCTCTACACTCTAACTGAGACCTTGCGACCTACCAGATCAGCGCCCAGAGAATGGTGACAGCCAGGAAGAGAGCCATGACGCCTCGCACCCTCACTCGGGGAACTACGCTGGGGTAGGCGTCGAAGGAGAGAAACAACGGCTCATACATCCCAGCGTCCGACACCCATGGAGAGGGAGAAAGGAGGGAGGGGACTGGCAACCTCGTCGAGGGGCAGTGAAGGGTCAGCAAGCAGACGATTCACCTAGATAATCCGTGAGAGTCGAGGAGGAATTAATCCGATGCTCCGCGGAGGGCTGCCGAGAGAGGAGTGGGACAGAGTCACCTGACTGAGATAGCTGACTACTTTGCTTGCTGACTCAGCTTTGAGTCAACTGGGTGTAGATCATGGGATGTTCCAGACTAAACTACTTTAGGACATTCCTCGAAAAATAGCCTGCGCCAGCCGGAAGGGGCCTAGTGCCCGCTTGAAGCCGAGGAAGGCAGGGAAGAAGCAGCCTGGAGCACATGACGGACCGCCCGGCCGGGGAGAGACAGACGAAGCGGTTGGGCTGTTGAGCCTTCTTGCAGGTCCCAACAATCATAGAATCGCCTTGTGCTAACTCCTTCTCCCATTTCGCTGTCCTATCTGTCTCCCTTTGTTGTCTATACGCCCTGCTGGTGCTGCAGGTTCCACTCGCTTGGTTTCGATCGTGGTCAAATGCTTGCATGCCAACTCATTCGCTTTGCAAGTGACCGTCTCTCGTTAGTGATTCCACTTCGGCGCATGTCTATCGGGCATTGTCACATGGGCCGTATGTAGGCGGCAATTCCTGCACCTCCGCCGTCTGACCTCCGATCCCCCTCTCTATCTGCTGTGTTCTTTGTTTTGTGCTTCGCCTTTATCGTTTGGGAATTGTTACAATATTCTCCAGGGACTTTCCCTGTCATTCTCGCAGGATGCAGTACGTCCGAAGTATCAGTGGTTCCGTCTCCAAGACGTGGAACTCCATCAATCCAGCCACCTTGAGCGGGGCAATCGATGTGATCGTGATTGAACAAGAGGATGGTTCGTGGTTTGCCTCTTTTTCTGGTCAATCGAACACTAATCTCTCGTATAGGAACTTTGGCTTGTTCACCTTTCCATGTTCGATTCGGCAAATTCTCTTTGCTCCGCCCGTACGAGAAGAAGGTACCGTTCCCGCATCGATCCTCTCAGAAATCCCATATAACTAAGACGTTCAAGGTGGAATTTTCCGTAAATGGTGTCAAGCAAGACTATGCGATGAAGCTGGGCGAAGGCGGAGAGGCCTTCTTTGTCTTTGAGACAACAGACGACATTCCCGCCTCGCTGCAGACTTCGCCCCTGGTTTCTCCAAGCAGCAGCCCCAAGATGCGCAGTGAGGAGAACCTCCCTCCATCGCTCCAGGAACCCGATTATTTGGATCTCGATCGATCATCTACGGGCAATCTAGATGGAAAATCTTCAACAGCCCTTCCGGTGCTGTCGAGGAGTATGCGGGCATCGAGCGATTTAGGTGGGTTCTATTGCTGACTTTCATATATCATGTTATATCATGTTATTGACATCCATCTGCGACAGGTACCCTTACTCCTCTTTCACGGTCGCCGGATGACTCCAGTCTGGGCAGGTCCCGACATGGCTCTTTCGGCGATACTCCCACCAAAATCGACCGAACGGCTACGGATACAGTGCTGTTGACTAAGAGCCGCTCCAACAGTGTCAGCGTAGCGGACCAAGTATATGGGATGCAGTCCTCTGGCGCCAGCGCCACGAGCGATGATCTGGGCCAGGATGGTCGTTCGCGAAGCCCTCCGCCATTAACTCCCGAAGAGGCGATGTCTCGTGCCGTCTCGCTATCGAAGAAACTCTCCGGATCGAATATTCCGTCTCACGTCACCGAAACAGGAGACCTCATGCTCGATATGACCGGGTACAAGAGCAGCGAAGAGGACGCTCTGCGAGCGGAAGTTCTTGCGCGGAAGATCCTTGCAGAGGAGTTGGAGGGCCCCTATGACATTGGGGCTCTCATCGGGGCTGACGAACATGGGAACTTGTGGATCTACAGTAGCGAAGAAGCAAAGGAGGCTGCCAATCGCCGCGCCACCTTTAATGCGATGCGACCAGGCTCCGCCATGAGCGAGCATGCCATCTCCGACCCAGGATATCACAGTGACAGCGACAAGTCTCTGCAGGACAAGCCGCTACCCAGCCGGCACTATCGCACCCAGTCTGATGTCCAACCCGGCTTCCCAACCCCGCCGCAGTCACCGACGACAGAAGCCCAAGAGCCAACTCGAAACTATGCAAAGACCCTCCGTCTCACGAGTAATCAGCTGAAGGCCCTGAACTTGAAGCCTGGGGCGAACAGCATGTCGTTCAGCGTCAACCGGGCTACGTGCACGGCAACGATGTATCTGTGGAACGGGAATATTCCCATTGTAATCTCCGATATTGACGGAACCATCACCAAGTAAGTGTTTTCGACCTGGGCTGTCGGCAGTCGCTAATAGGTTGTAGGTCTGATGCCCTGGGCCATGTGTTGAACATGATTGGCCGTGACTGGACGCATGCTGGAGTGGCCAAGTTGTATACTGACATTGTCAACAACGGCTACAACATCATGTACCTTACAAGTCGATCAGTTGGCCAAGCAGATACGACGCGGGCCTACTTGTATGGAGTAAACCAGGACGGCTGGCGACTGCCTAAGGGGCCGGTCATCATGAGTCCCGATCGAACCATGGCAGCACTCCGACGAGAAATCTACCTGAGGAAGCCCGAGGTGTTCAAGATGGCTTGCTTGCGGGATATCTTGAACTTGTTTAATGGGAAAGAGAATCCCTTCTACGCCGGGTTCGGCAATCGTCTTACTGATGCGCTGAGTTACCGGTCGGTGAACATTCCATCCACCAGGATCTTCACGATCAATTCGAATGCCGAGGTCGTCCTGGACCTTCTCAGTCTTAATAAGTACAAGAGCAGTTACGTTTCGATGACGGAGCTGCTGGACCATTTCTTCCCGCCGGTGAGTCTGCTGGTCCAGGCTGGCGGCGAAGAATATACCGACTTTACCTATTGGAGAGAGCCTCCGCCGGACTTGGAGGACTTTTCCTGCACAGACAGCGAAGCGGAGGAAGGAGACCAAGAGGAGGAGGAAGGAGACCAAGAGGAGGAGGAAGACGAGGAAGAGGAGGACGAGGAGTATGACGGGGAGCTGAGTGACGAGGAAGCAAGTGATGTCGACGAGGATGAGGCCGGAGAAGAGCTCGGGGCGAGCTACATCTCGCAGGACTCGGTCGATGGATCTGAACTGGTGGACAGTCTCAATCTCCATGCTGCCGATGAAGAAGAGATCGAGGACGAAGATGAGGTCGCCTCGGAAGAGGAGTTGGACCCTCCTCGTCCAAGCCAATCCAACCCTGGCTCTCCCAAACGCTGAGGCAGCAAAATGCATCAACTGCATTATGATGGCGAATTCATAGGCCAGGGACTTGACATTTATCGCATGGATGAGGTGTTTGTGTTATAGAATTGCATGATGGGCGTTTGCACGGTCGCATAGCCATATTATTACTCTTGTTGGGCGGCACATAATGTATGATAGTCGAGACACTAAGTTGCACAGTATAGAATTGTTGCATCATCAAATTCTTTTCTCTTGATTAATCTACTTTCTGCTCCTCCTGCTGCAACATCACGTACATCGACGGTCCCAAGTGCTGGGAATCGATCACCTGCCGAAGGCGGTCTAGCGCGGACTTGCCTGGCCGACCGACTCTCGCTTTGCCTCCATCGGCAGCTTTCATCTCCAGCTTCATCAACCGCAGCAACCATCTACCCTCGCGCATACACTCATCTACACCTGTATCGGATACTGCGAATCCCATTCCGAACAGTAGGCGATGCCAGCACCCACCAATTGACCAGCCTCCGAAGCGCGTCGCTACACCTACTATCCCGTCGACGACTACCACCTCACCCATCACCACCCTCAATATCATTCAAAATGGCCTCACCAAACCACGCGCAACCTCCCACCACTCAACCCATCACACCTCCGGCCGAACCATCAAGCACCCAACCCACCGCATCCCAAAACACCACCACCACCACCACTACCGCCCCGGCCGCAGGACCACCAACAACAACAACCGCAACCAACAACCCCAGCACCGCACCCGCCGCGAACACCAACCCCAGCGCCCAACCGACCCAAATCCCCTCCACCTCCCTCAAAGACAGCGGCAAATCGCGACGTCCGCGCGATGTCCGACTCATCCATATGCTCCTCTCCTCGCTGGGAGTAACAGCATACCAAGAGCGCGTACCACTGCAACTTCTCGACTTCGCCTACCGCTACACGTCCTCGGTGCTGCAAGATGCCGTGCATCTCGCGACAGAAGGCTACGCTGGTGGTCCCGAGGCCGCTGGTGGTGGTGGAAGCTCCCGCGCCGGCGCGTCCGAAATCAATACTGTGTCGTTACCGGCGCTGCGGCTGGCTATTGCGTCCCGACTGCATTATCAGTTCCAGGCGGGATTGCCGAAGGAGTTTTTGATGGATGTGGCGGCGGAGAGGAATCGTGTGGCTTTGCCCGGTGCGAGTCGTGGGTTTGATAGTCAGGGGATGGCGAAGACGGCGGCGGCGAATCAGAGTGTCGTTATGGGTGGGATGAGGTTGCCGCCGGAGAGGTTCTGTTTGACGGGTACGGGGTGGAATATGAGGGAGGAGTGGGAGAGTGAGGGCGAGGAGGAGGTCGAAGAGGCTGGGGATGCTGGGAGGGAGAATGGCATGGGTGGTGGTGGTGCTGGGGGTGGGACGAAGGTGGAGGAGGGTGAGGGGGGTGTGGATGAGGAGGAGGATGGGAAGATGGAGGATTTTTTTGGGGAGGATACGGCTATGGGGGAGGGTGATGGGGATGGAGGGGATGGGGATGGGGATAAGGATATGACGGATGTTTAGATATCAGTTGAAAGTGGGAGGGTGTGTATCTGCATAGAGGCGTTAGGGCGCAGGATAACTAGTTACTACTACCACTACCTACTTAGTACTTTGGACAGGAGGACGGGAGATTTCAATTCATCTATTCTTTCTTTGCTATCCTTTTCCTTTCCCTTTTCCTTTCAACATCATGCACCCATCATCTATCGTCGCTCCATCCATCACATCACCACCACCACCACCAATAACAACTACTTACTATACAAGTCCCAATGAACACACACTAAGTCTGTAAATGCCAAACAAAACGCCAAAACCAGCAGTATCAATACAAAAGAAACGAGGGGGAAAAAAGAGGAGGATAACCCTATATACGCCAACCCACAACACAGCACACAACCCCATCCCCCATCCCCATCATACACATACACACCCACCATCTCACTTCTTCTCAGCAGCAGCTTTCGCAGCAGCAGCCTGTCTCTCCTGATCCTCCCTCATCATGCGAATGACCTCCTCCCTCCGTCTCTCCACCTTCGCAAGCTCCTCCTCCTTCGCCTTCCTCCGCTCCTCATGCGTCGCAAACCACTCCTCCCTCGCCCGGTCTTCTACCTCCGGCTTCGCATGCGCTACCATGCACGAGTTCATCGCTAGTCGTTGGTCCCGACATACCCATGTTGCTGTTATTGTGCGGTTGACGGCGCATTCGGCGAATGCTATACCAATGGGCCCCCCAGTGATTAGTATGCGTTGCGAACACTTTTTCCCTTCGGTTTCGAATAAGGGAATTGGGATTGGGATTGGGATTGGGATTGGGGTATATGGGGGATTGGTTCTCACCCTTGATTTCAGGCGCACAGAGAGATCGCACGCGCTTGTAGTAGAGTTGCTTCACTTCTGCTTCTTGGGCGGCGGAGAGGGGGAGGGGGTTGCGGAGGTTGTATTTTGGTTTGGTTGTTGTTGAGTCGGGTTGGGGGGTTGTGGAGGACATTTTTGGATTGGTGAGGAGGTTGAGGTTGTGTATGTATTGTATTGTATGTATGTATGTCTTTGTAGAGAGGAGGAGGAGGAGGAGGAGGAGGTGGTGGTGGTGTCAACCTGTCGTGTATACGAGAGAGAAGCAATAGCGCACTGTCCGGACACGAAGGAATAATTGTCGTCGTAAAAATCAATCCGAGAATCCGACATAGGGTATCAATTCATCACCAACATATAACCACCAATTGCCCTCAAAAAAAGAAAGCCAGGAAAACAACACCAATGATCATGCGGTTGTCTAGCACAGCTAGAATAGTTAGAATCCAGCGGAGAAAGAAGTCGGACGGGTTGGTCGGCAACTACCCGGTTGGGTTTAGTGTCCTCCGACTCCGACTTTTCATTACTTTCTATCTATCTATCTATCCCCGTCCTCTTACCCAACAATCAACCAAGTACTTTTTTACTCCCTTCACAAAGTCCCTTTACGCAGGGAGAGAAAAAAAAAGGGGGATTTATCATGTCTTCCATGCGCAATGCCGTTCAGCGGCGCAACCACCGCGAGCGTGGTCAGCTCGAAGGTCGTGAGAAATGGGGTATTCTTGAAAAGCACAAGGTACATACCTCTATTTCTCTATCTTGCCATTACATGCTAACACAATGACTGTATAGGACTACTCCCTCCGCGCGAAAGACTACAACACGAAGAAAGAAAAGATCAAGCGTCTACAAGAAAAAGTCCGCGACCGCAACCCCGATGAATTCGCCTTCGGAATGATGTCGAGCTCGTCCGCTCGGCAAGGCAAACACGGCGCCGCAGGAAATCGCGACTCGGCTGCTGCGCGTGGTCTCAGTCACGACGCTATCAAGTTGCTCAAGACACAGGATGCGGGGTACCTGCGGACAGTCGGGGAGCGGATCCGGCGACAGATGGAGAAGTTGGAGGAGGAGGTGCGGTTGCAGGATGGGATGAAGGAGTTGCTTGATGGGGAGGAAGCGGAAAATAAGAAAAAGGAGGAGGTGGTGGACGACGATGATGATATGGACTTCAATTTTGATTTCGGGGATGATGATGAGGTGGATCAGAAGAAGAATAAGAAGAGCAGGAAGTTGGTGTTTGCGGATGATCGGAAGGAGCAGAGAGTGTTGAAGAAGAAGAAGTTACGGGAGGAAGAAGACGATGAGGATGATGACGAGGAGGACGAGGAGGATTCGTTTGGGAAGCAGATGATGAAGAAGTCGAGGAAGCAGTTGGAGGCGGAGAGACAGGCGCTTGTAGAGGCCCGTCGGGCTCGCAAGATGAGAAAGCGTGCGGCGGAGGCGCGGGTCAACAAGCTCAAGGCGCTGCAGAAGCAGTATAAGGAGATTACTGCTGCGGAGCGCGAGTTGGATTGGCAGCGCGGTCGGATGGATAATGTGGTGGGTGGCACGAATAAGAATGGTGTCAAGTGGAAGATTCGTGAGCGGAAGAAGTGATTTATTGTTCCTTTCATTTGGTTTGTGGCTTGTTTATTGTCCATACTGCTACGGCAGTTTATGATTCTGCGTTGCATCGGTGGTGGGAAAAGTTCCGTGTCTACTAGAGGCGTTCGAGATACCATTAATGTACAGTGATCATCAAGACCTTTTATTGCTATGCTCATATTACATGCGTCAATCGTAAACCGCTGGTACAAATCATGCCTGCTGCTTCTTCATGTGCGCCACGCGGATGCTCACGGCCCGCTTGTGCGCATCCAGTCCCTCCACTGCTGCCAGCTGCTCCACCGTGCGAGACAAGCCTAGCAGACCGTCTGCCGTCAGGTTCGAGCTGGTGATGTGCTTGAGGAAGGAACCCAGGTTCACACCGGAGTACTGCTTAGCGTATCCGTAGGTCGCTGTGACTATTAGCTTGGTTCACCTATTTAGTTTGAAGAGATTGGAAAGACTTACGCAAAGAGTGGTTGACACCAGCAGAGTAATCGCCCACACTCTCCGGGGTCCACTGGCCGATGAACACACTACCAGCGTTCTGCACCTTCTCAACTGCCGCCTCGGCGTTCTGGATCTGCAGAATCAAGTGCTCAGGGGCGTAGTCGTTGCTGAGAGCCATGGCTTCCTCGAGGTCGCGCACAACGAAAGTGACCGAGTGCGCCAGAGAGCCCTTGACAATGTCCACACGGGGCAGAGCCTTGGCCTGGACGTCAACCTCCTTCTCGATGGCCTGAAGCTGCTCCTCGTTCAAGTCAATGGCAATGAGGATGACCTGCGAGTCCACGCCGTGCTCGGCCTGACTCAGCAGATCAGAAGCGACGAAAGCAGGGTTGGCGTCCTTGTCCGCAATCACCAGCACTTCACTGGGACCAGCGGGCATGTCAATGCTGACACCGGCGGAGGTATCGTTGGCGACCAACATCTTGGCGGCAGTGACGAACTGGTTGCCCGGACCCAGGATCTTGTCCACCTTGCTGACGCTCTCCGTGCCGTATGCCATGGCAGCGACTGCCTGAGCACCACCGGCAAGCACGATGCTTTCAGCACCGACCTTGTGCGCAACGTAGACAATCTCAGGCGAGATGCTGCCATCCGCGCGAGGAGGAGAAGCGAAGACCAGCTTCTTGCAGCCAGCCACCATAGCGGGAACACCCAGCATCATGGCGGTCGACGGCAGAACGGCAGTACCACCGGGGATGTAGAGACCGACGCGCTCAATGGGACGAGAGAAACGGGAGCAGACCACGCCTGGCATGGTCTCCACCTTCAAGCCCTCGTTGCTGTCCTTCTGGGCGCTGTGGAACTTGGCAATGTTGGAGATACTGACATCAATGGCCTCCTGGGTCTCGGGGGACAGCTTCATCAGCTCAGGCGGGAAAGGAGCGCTAAGCACCGGGGAGGTCAAGGAAGTGGCCTTTTCGAACTTGTGGGTGTACTTGAGCACGCCGGCGTCACCGTTCTTGCGGACGTCATCGATGATGGGGCGAACGAGAGCGACGATGGCATCGTTGGACTTCTGAGAGGGACGCTTGAGGTAGTCCTGCACGACATTCTCGGGGGTCGAAGCGGTAACAACGCGGGTCATCTGCATGGGCTCATCGGCCTTAGGAGCGGGCTCAGCAGGCTTAGCGGGCTCTGGAGCGGGCTTCGATTCGGCCAGACCAGCCTTCTCTGCCCAAGGGCCCTTGGCATCACCCTTTCTCCTCTTCACCTTCAGACTCTTGAGGTCCAGGTTCCTCTCCACATCCTCCAGGCTAACACCCGCCGCGACGCAGCGAGTCAGAGCGAAGTAGAGAAGATCCGCAGCCTCAAAAGCAATCTCTTCCTTGGTGTTGGCGCGGCACAGCTCATCAGCCTCCTCCATGATCTTGGCCTGGGTGAGCTTGGGCTCGTTGAAAAGGCGGGCAGTGTAGGATCCGGCGGGCGCATCAGCCTTGCGGGCTTGCAGGGTCTTCTGAAGACGGGCGAGACCATTGTAGGGGCCGAAGCAGCTGGCGGTTCCAAGGTGGCAGAAACCTTTATAGATGGTTAGTAAATTTAAGTGGACTGGGAACTCTAGACTTACCTCTGCCAATCTGGTTAACAACAAAGACCAAGCAATCGCTGTCGCAGTCGAAGCCGACGCGGATCAGCTCCTGCACGTCTCCGCTGGACTGACCCTTGTACCAAAGACCACGCTTCCGGCTCTGGTACACGCCGGTGCCAGTGCGGAGGGCCTCAGCAATGCTCTCGTCGTTGCTCCACACCAGTCCCAGACATGTTCCACGCTCATCAGTCACGGTGGTGGCGTACAGGCCGTTGCTCTGGTCTGCGACAGCACGAGCAGCAATGAGAGAGGCGGCGACGATCTTGCCGTTGGGTTCCTTGTGCTCAAAGGTCAATGCATCGGCCGACACAACGCTGACGCCGCCCTGGGCCAAGGTGTCCTTGAGCGTCTCCTCCGTGGGGATGCTAGTGTATGTGCGGTACAAGTTCTGGGCTTCCAGGTTCATGCCAAGCTTCTCAGCGATGGCCTTGACGGCAGACGAGTCGGTCGACAAGCCAGCATCCTTGTGTTCGGTGGACTCGCCCACCCAGGTCTTGAAGGCATCCACCTGGCTCTCGGCAGCATAGACGACGAGACGTGATGACGGGACGGACTGTTCTTGAGACAGAGCCGTCAGTTGGTTGAGGGAGATGAAGATCTTGGCAGCGCCGGCATTGAGGATATCGACGAGGTCTCCAGTGGAGGTAATGGCAGTAGCGTCAACGTAGACATCAAGGAGGCGGAAGTTGCGCTTGAGGAAGTCTTCAGCTTGAGCGAGGCTGGAAACCTTGACGAGGACGCGACCGAAGTAGGCGATCTGCTTGAGGGAGAGGCCGGAGGAGGGGGAAGCGGGGTCGTATGAGACGAGGAGGGGAGTGGCCATGATGGATGGATGGGAGGGGAACTCTCTAGGGGAATGTTCAAGGAGAGAGAATCAGAAGTAAGATCCCCAAGACGGGGAAAAAAACAGCAGTTGGACAACTGGGGAAAAAAGACGCGAGAGACGAGCGAGAGAAAGTGAGTCAGTCCGTCCGGGGCGGATCGGGGCAAAGATAAAGAAAGACTCCGCCTGCAATTTTCTTCCTGTTCTTTTGCCCCGCCATCGGAGAGGTTCTCACCGCCCGCCACAAATGCCCTGCAATTGATTGGATTGGCAGTGTTGAGATGCCTTCATCCATGGCTGACGGTCGCACAGAGTTAATTCCGTTAGGCAGACATCGGGTCTGGCCATGTTCCTGAAGCTTGTTGCTTCAATGGGAGTTTCCTACTGATCCTGTTGGCGGGGTTGGCATGTCCCGGTGAAATCTTGTGGGATCCCGTCAATTCCCTCCACCAGATTCAATCTAGAGTTCTGGTCTAATCCAGTTCATCACTAATTCCGTGCGGTCACTACGGGCCGATAAATCTCGGAGGAATTACTACGCAGCTTCAAATGAATGGGCGAATATCCTCCGAGTGCTGTCACCTCCACATGTTGTCATAACTTACGGCATTGCATCCCGCATTCGGTCGGCCCCAGTGCCGATCGGGCGCGCTATTACTACTACCTGATTACCTGCTCCTAGATGTCAGATCATAGATTGACAGTCCTTTCCACTGCCTCTTCGCAGTGCATCACTTCAATTCGAGCATCCTCATCAGGTCGATCTTCTCTCCCGAATGAAGACAGTACATCCAACCAACCAGAAGCAACATCGATACCCACGTATTTACCATTTGGCTCTCTAGCGAGACAGCAGTTAGAAGCCCAGGTCATATATCTCCATACCAGTGAAGTGTGTTGTATTGGCCACGTCGTGAGCAACTCGCCGATATGGCTGCCAGGATATCATTCTTAGCGGCAATAGTATCAATAGTATTGATACCCCCAGTACCAATTACAGTGTCTCATAATTTTTGTGTGAACAGAAACCAGGCGCAAGATAATGTCTTTGGTAGTTACCCTTTGGGTGAGAGTCCCGAGGCAGCACCATAGCCCCTTCTGGGAAGTGGCCAAGGGTCAAAAACCCTTGATGTATCCCATTCCAGGGAGAGGGAATATTCCCTTCATTCACAGAGCAAGCCAACGAAAAAGTTTGATGAAACTGGTGACCAAAGCTGCCCTGCAGTGCTAATATTCTAGACGCTCTGTCAACGTCCAGGTAGATCACTTGCAATTATGAAGCACATGCGATGTTTCTGCAAGTAGACTGGTGACCTGATGTAGTAAACTCTAACCACACAGCCGAGGACACCCCGATCTTGAAGGGTCCTGACATCTGAAAGCGGGGATATAGTGAAGTACTATTTGGGGTTGTCAGCCCACGCCCAACCCCAGGCATACCTTGTCAAGGCAAGCATCTGATGCAGCTTGTGTGAGACAGGGACAAGAATATCGTATGGCTCGATCTAACCATATCGAGAACGGCCCAGAGATATTGACCCTTAGTCCAGGCGATCACCTTTGGCTTTTTCGATTTCAAACCTACTTTCCACTAGTCGGTCTGAGGTCTCCGAATCTCCAGGCGATCATCTGCCCATCCTCATCATCTGCTATGCGGACTGACCTGCCCGAATGATCGACTAAATAGTCCTCCGTACTGGCCATCGCGATGTGACTGTGACACCTCGCCAAGTCTCGAGTTGAATTAAGCGCCCACCCGGAAGTATCTGATGGGTATGAAGTGAGGATGGAGTACCTGCTGGGTTGCCTGCACGGCCAGCCAGGAACAGGTACCGATCACATCAGGAATACCCCTCGGGGACCAGCAGAGGAATCCACCCTTGCATAGCTGGCCCTCCAATCGGAGGCTCAGATCGGCGGAGGTGGGCCCAAAGCAGCTTAGCGGACTGGGGCTTGGCCCCGCCCAGGAACCAGGGACTGCTGGCTGCCTTTCCTCTTTGGGAAACTCCAGGGCCGCCTCCATCTTCCCCTGTGCCGTCATTGTATGCAAAGCAGTTTTGGTGTGTGTCCTCACACTGGCACTCTCGATGGAATCCTGCAACTAAACTAGTAGTCTGCGGGTCTCCCCCAAAATGGATGCAGCATAACTCTCCTTCTCAGCCTGATCCCGTCTGCTTCTCCGCATTCTTTAGCCGGTAGATCGTCTTATTTATACCCGATTCCGTCCGCTTGTTGACGTGCTCTCATTCTTGCGTCCTGTTTTCGTGGTCTGTGCAAGACCAGTTTGGTTTTTTATTTCGGGTCTGCTCACTCGGTTGTCACTCATTTCGCCAAACCATGCATCTCCCCTCGCTTTCCTTGTCCCTGACGGCCTTGGCCATCGCCAGTCCTTCTGCCGCTTATCCTCACTTTGGCTCCTCCCAGCCCGTCCTGCACAGTAATTCCGACACCACTCAATCGCGCGCAGATGCCATTAAGGCTGCCTTCTCGCACGCCTGGGATGGCTACCTCCAATACGCGTTTCCTCATGACGAGCTGCATCCCGTGTCGAATGGCTATGGCGACTCCCGGAATGGCTGGGGTGCCTCGGCCGTGGATGCACTCTCCACAGCAGTGATCATGCGCAATGCCACCATTGTCAATCAGATCCTGGACCACGTGGCCAAAATTGATTATTCTAAGACAAACACCACCGTGAGCCTCTTCGAGACCACCATCCGTTACCTGGGAGGCATGCTGTCCGGATATGATCTGCTGAAGGGGCCCGTGTCCGACCTGGTGCAAGACTCGTCGAAAATCGACGTGCTCTTGACCCAATCGAAGAACCTCGCCGATGTGCTTAAGTTCGCCTTCGACACGCCTTCGGGGGTTCCGTACAACAACCTCAACATCACCTCAGGGGGGAATGATGGAGCCAAGACCAATGGTCTGGCTGTGACGGGTACACTGGCGCTGGAATGGACGCGCCTGTCGGATCTTACGGGTGACACCACGTATGCCGACCTGAGCCAGAAGGCCGAGTCGTACCTCCTCAACCCGCAGCCCAAGTCTGCGGAGCCGTTCCCCGGCTTGGTTGGAAGCAACATCAATATCAGCAATGGACAGTTCACGGATGCGCAGGTGAGCTGGAATGGTGGCGATGACTCCTACTACGAGTACCTGATCAAGATGTACGTGTACGACCCCAAGCGGTTCGGTCTCTACAAGGACCGCTGGGTGGCCGCGGCGCAATCGACGATGCAGCATCTGGCGTCGCACCCCTCGTCCCGCCCGGACCTGACCTTCCTGGCATCCTACAACAATGGAACTTTGGGATTGAGCTCGCAACACTTGACCTGCTTCGACGGAGGTAGCTTCTTGCTGGGAGGCACCGTACTGAACCGGACGGACTTCATTAATTTCGGTCTGGACCTGGTGAGCGGGTGTCATGATACGTACAACTCGACGTTGACGGGAATTGGTCCGGAGTCGTTCAGCTGGGATACCAGCGACATTCCCTCGAGCCAGCAGTCGCTCTACGAGAAAGCCGGATTTTACATTACTAGTGGCGCGTACATTCTGCGCCCGGAAGTGATTGAAAGCTTCTACTATGCCTGGAGAGTTACCGGGCAGGAAACAGTAAGCTTGAGTCCTCATTCTATTAGGTCAATAGTAACTAACAACCTCTTAGTACCGGGATTGGATCTGGAGCGCATTCAGCGCCGTCAACGACTACTGCCGCACCAGCTCCGGTTTTTCAGGTCTGACAGACGTGAACGCGGCCAACGGCGGCAGTCGGTACGACAACCAGGAGAGTTTCCTGTTTGCCGAGGTGATGAAGTACTCGTACATGGCGTTTGCGGAAGATGCGGCCTGGCAAGTGCAGCCCGGCAGCGGGAACCAATTTGTGTTCAACACCGAGGCACATCCAGTGCGGGTGAGTAGTACATAAATGGGTAGACATTGTTAGAGATGTGTATGGTATCAATAGAGACATGGCATTCAGCAGAATACTATCTGCCTTGTTCTAATAATACTCTAGACAAGAAACCCCCGCAAACTCGCTCATACTCTCTCCCATTCTTTATCCCATTCAGTAGATCCTCAATAGATGATAGGTGGTCCACCGCCCCACCCCCATACAAAATAGTCGGTGGCGCCCCACATCCAAAGATGCGCACATTTGAGCAGCTTTGCTTTCAGTGGTACCTTGGAGACCATGTCCAATACATGCTATCTATGTGTTTACGTACCTTGGGGGCTAGACAATATAGACATAGAAGCTGTGGTCCCTATTTCTTTCTCTCCATAAACAGGACATCTTCCATCTATACTCTCCTCTCTTCTTACGCATACACCCACCAACTCCAAACTATACAGAATCTCCTCCCCGAGTATAGTGTGAATAAACAAAACCCCAAGGAACATTTATCAGAAAAAAGACACTGAAGATGTGCGGCCCTTCCCGCCCAAGCTCTGGCTCTCTCATCGCTGTTATCTTCCCTTCATCATCATCATCAACAACCTCTCCTCCCTCTTCGCCTTCATCACCCTCCTCAAATGACTCCACATCACCAACAACAAACCCATCATACTACCTCTTCTTCAAAAACACCACACACCCAGCAGCGTCAGATACTCAAACAGGAAAAGAATCGAGAACAACAACAACAAAAGCCCTCTTCCGCATCCCAGACCCTCTCACTCGCAGATCATTCCAGGAAAGTGCGGCGGTGTATATGCGGATTGAGTATGCAATATCCTATTATATCCTATCTCTTTGCTCTATCTGTGTGTGTGAATAGTTTTACTGATCTCGTGTGGTGTATGTAGGAAATACGGAGATCTCACGGTGGAGAATAATACATCTCCCCCGTTACATTATTTCCGGTTACCGATGATGAAGATGCATGGGGGGGAATTTGAGGTTACCTTGCCGGAGAGGTTGGAGTTGGGAGTCTCTGAGAGGGGGATTGTGGGGAGGTGTGTGAGGGTTGGGGTTAGTGATGATGGGGTTGGGACTGGGATTGGGGTTGTGGATATGGGGAGGGGGGTGGTGGGGTATGATTGATCTTTTTCCTAGATTGTTTTGTTCTCTCTGTGTGTTGTTGTGCGCTATATGGTTGTTGTTGAGATATGGGATAGAAGGAAAGGGATAAGCAAATCAATCATGTATGTGGCTGTTATAGACAGTCTGTTGATAGATACATAGAGAGAAGGCTACTAACTACAACTTCAACGAACCCAGTTCATCGGTACCATTCAGATACCGATGCTCTGCTTCTTCCCAGTTAATCACCTTCCAGATGTTCTGCACATAGGAAGCCTTATTGTTCAGGTACTACACCACGCCACCCATCACATTAGCATCACCCAACGCAAGTAAATGGGAAAAGGGGTCCCTCACCTGCAAATAATAAGCATGCTCCCACATATCAACCCCAAATATCGGAATCGGCCCAGTCACCGGATCTTGATCCTTCGTCGTAACAATCTCGAGGAATCCCTTCTTCCCTGAACTCACCAGCCAGCCCCATCCACTGCCCTGGATGCCTAGCAGAACTGCCTCAAACGCATCCGTGAAGTTCTTGACTGATCCCCACTGCTTCTCAATAGCGTCTTTGAGAGTCGGGGCGGATTGCTCCAGCTTAGTGGCCGGGGAGTCGTAACGAGCCAAGTTCTTCCAGAACAGGGAGTGGTTGATGTGGCCGCCGCCGTTGAACTTGAGTTTCTGCTGGATGCTGATGAGCTGGGTGATGTCGTTGCTGTCGAGAGCGGAGGCTTGAGAGGCGAGGGCCGCGTTGAGGTTGTTCACGTAGGTTTGGTGGTGCTTTTTGTGGTGGAGTTCCATGATTTGTTTCGAGATGATGGGTTCGAGGGCCTGTTGTTGATGAGATGGGGAAGAAGGGAGAGGAGGGGAAGGGGGAGACATACATCGTAGTCGTAGGGGAGGTCGGGGAGGGTGTATTTGGAGGTCATTTTGGCTGTTGGAGTGTTCAATAGGTGAGAGGGCGGTGATGTTGTTGGAAGAGAAGAGAGGGAGGGAAGATGAATCGAACAAGACGGAAGGATAAGAGGGGTAGTTCAATCATCACGACATTATGAGGGCATTGTCATCCTACAAGGTACTCTTCTCCCACCAATCCGAGGAGTGGGGGATGTGTCCAGATGGGGACCTTGCTGCGCACGATTGAGCAAGTTTCGATCCCTGTCATTGGCTGTGAACAGAGAGAGTGGGATGCATTGAATGATATCACAGAGAAATTCTCCCTTTTTGGGCGATCTTCGCTGAGCACCTCATAATAAACAACTCTCAGGGAAGTCCCTGAGGAAATGGACTGGAGGGGGGCTTTCACTTCCATCCATCTGAATAGAGTAGATGGAGGGTATCTGCACTGGCCAATCAGCATTCCCCCATCCCCCATACTTGCTTCAATTCCAGACTAACCAGGAGCAGCTAGACAAGTATCTACAAGGAGTAAGGTGGTAAAATATGCGTAGTGGCCAACTGTCACATACCGTGCGGGGTTGAGATGTTACAGCCTCGGATGCTGGTCGGCAACCAAAAAGTCGAGCTGATCAGAGTCGATACATAACTTCTGTAGCCTCGTCTCACTCCGCCCCGTCGTAACTCTCACATCCACTGTCATTCATTCATCATGTCTGCCTCTGACCAGGTTCAGCTGGACAACTTCCCCACCATCTTCTCCCTGGAGGGAAAGGTGGCCCTCGTCACTGGTGGCTCTCGCGGTCTAGGTCTGCACACTGCCAGTGGGTAAGACAGAAGCAATCGCCCCAGAACGAACCAGGATCTTACCAATTGATCTAGTCTCCTCCAATCGGGCTGTTCCAAGGTCTACATCACCTCGCGCAAGGCGTCTGCCTGCGCCGAAGCCGTTGCGGCCTTAAATGCGCTCCCCAACAAACCCCCGCACGCCACCGCCATCGCTGTCCCCGCCGACAACTCTAATATGGAGGAGCTAGACCGGCTCGTCGCCGAGGTCTCCAAGACCACCTCCCATCTCGACATCCTCTTCGCCAACGCCGGTGCAACATGGGGCGAGAAATTTGATACCTACCCAGAGGACAAGTTTAGCAAGGTCATGGACCTGAATGTGAAGAGCGTCTTCTACACCATCCAGAAGTTCACTCCCCTGCTGACGGCACGGGCCACCCAAGATGACCCGTCGCGTGTTATCGTAACTGGCTCGACTGCAGGCATTACACCGGGCAGTCTAGGCCCCAGTGCAACCTTCAGTTACTCTGCCTCCAAGGCAGCTGTGTTGCATCTCGTCCGGAACCTGGCCGTCGATTTGGGGCCCCGACACATCCTGTGTAATGCCATTGCGCCAGGATTCTTCCCGTCCAAGATGGCCAATGGGCTGATCAAGATCAAGGGAGGACTGGAGGATCTGGAACGGAGGTCGCCAAACGGAAGGCTGGGCAGGAAGGAGGATATTGCGGGTTTGGTGGTCTTTCTGGCCAGTCGGGCAGCAAGCCACATGAATGGAGCTGTGATTCCCATCGATGGGGGGAATCATTTGGCGCGATTGTAAATGATGATTGGGCTGAAGTATACGCGTCCGAGATGTAGCAATGGCCTGATCGTTAGACATGGATGGAAGAGTCTCCATCGCAAACGGGTGTCGCATCAAGCCACTGTTTGGACTTCTGCTTCTGTTGGGTGGCGAGGAATGCTACCCTGTGCTACCAGAGAAATGGAAGCAGTCATCAAGAGATTGCTTTGAGTAGTAGCGTAATTTTTTCTCTCTGATTCTGCCTACATATGGGGAGCGTCCTCCCTTCCATCCATCACCCGACGGCATGCCTTTTCTTTCCTTTTGGTAGCTCCTTATATATACGCTTGACCAGCAATAGTCTCTCTTTATACACCCACACCTTACTATTAGTATATACAACAGTCTTCTGAGCTTGCTTGTGAATTTTGCACCTCAGATTCATTGTCACCGTCGACATCGCCCCTCATCATATTTCAGCCGACATCAAGTGACTTACTCGATAAACCTCGAGCCTTTCTGATTTCTCAACTTTCTATTTGGAGAGAGCGTCAAGTCGACCATCTCGGCGTGCAATCAAGTCTCGGACATGGACCTGAAGAAACCTGGGTATTCATGCACGTGGCCTTTACCACATTATGGCACGCATGATCATCATCGAAACCAACTACCGAATTGGCGAACCCCGAGCCACCACCACCCTAGAAATGAAGCTCGGTTATCGTGCCTGCCCCGAGATTCGGGTTGCAAGCTGTACGGTTTCCAGCGGCGGAGAACCACTCTGGGTTTCAAGAGCTGGAGGAACATCCATTCTTAGACTCCACAAGGTCGCCAACCTCGCGTACGAGCGCAGGTGATCATGCACAGTTCTTCTACAAGGCATCACTTCTTTTCACTGGACCGTACACCCGGGGTGCTGGTTCTCTTGAAAGATAAACGAAAGCAAGATGCGACGTGGCCTTCGTTTGGTATCTTTTTCGCTTCATTGTTCGACCTATCGAGACAAAGGGTCTTCTCGTCGCCCAATCTTCAGCTTCGAGAATCCAAAATACAGCATACCAGAATGGCGAAAGAAAAAATACGAGTACGCTTAGACTCTGAATAATTGCTATCAATTTAGCAGAGCGCAGAGCGCATGATACGTGATTTACCTCAGCCTGATGAGAGTATTCATCAACATGGCCGTTCGTGGATAAGCGAGCTATACCCCGGAGGGACCCTATTTCCTCAAGAACCCTATTTTCAGGGTCATCAAAAGCAAGGAATTTGCAACGTTTCGACGTCCGGTGATAGGCAAGATCAAGCCCGAAAGGTTATGGGCACAGTGATGATCCAGTACGTGTCATGTTCCTACCTTCTCTCACCCGCCTTCTAATGTATCTTTACTGATGGTATTACCAGATGACCATCGTACTGTTGATTGTATATCGTCCCATTTGAGTACAATCCCAAGAGCCGCAACACTTTATTCGTCTCCGTACAGCGGAGAAGCAGTCGGAGTAAACTTCGGTGCCACACAAGAATCTTCAGATGGAACGGGAGACTTCTCATCGACCACAACTGTCGCCTCTATAGTCGCTGGTCCAGAAATGGAGTCATGGAAGAATGCATCGCGGCATTTCAATTCAAAATGCAGAAGTATGGTGGAGATGTAAGGCTGGAACATGATGCTGTTGGGGAATTTTAATGAGACCGCAGAGTCCGATAGCTTGCTTGGATGTATATGGAGATCTTGACCGGCACCGGGGGAGAACTGCTATTTACAGCACAATGGTCCCCTCCGGAGTATCGTCTCCGCTTGATAATTCTGTCGGTGTCTCTGTGTGGGCGTTCTGACCCACTGGAAACTATCGCTCTGGAGCCACCTGCGACCGAAGACGAAGCTGAGAGTCTGCAGGCCCTTGCTGCGTGATCTCAACTCAGTTCCTGAAACGACACCAAACAGAACTGGAACGACTGTTGCCATTGGGGCTGCGATATTCTAAAAGAGCAATATAAGAAGAGGACATGCAGTTCGGATGTGGCGGAGGAGGATATAACGATAGGGAACTAATTTCTTCAAAGATGATGATACAGGGAACCACTTTGCTTTCCCGCAGGCCTACTAATATGGGGGCAAAATACCGTCGAATTTGTGTCTTTCATCTGCATTTGGCGTGGTAGTCTTATGGACCACGCAAGGATACTGGATTTGCCATGTATCGAACAGTCAGTCTACCCTCCCTGCCAGTGTGCTTTGTTGGGACTGACGGCCCATAGACACTCATATCCAACGATATGCCACATCTTTTACACGTTGCCGTCCCAAGGGTTTTATAACGTCTTGCACATGTGAATGATAATGCTTGTAAGGGAAGGTTTATGTTGTATCACGGTTGGAAGTAAGGACATGTATTTTCTTCTTCTCTTCCCTCCTCATGCCCCGTTCTTATTACTCTAGCTTCCCCGCACTCTGGCAGCCATGCCTACGTATCCTACTGTTCTGAACCATGTGCGGCAGTCTAAAACCACAGCGGTTGCGAGTGGAGCAAGTAATTGTGCTCTTGCTGTTCTGGGTGGCAGCACGGAAATATGCTGATTCAAGAAAAAAGTATTGGAAGACTGCAACGGTTGCCCAGTCGCACCCTAGTTGGATGAGGATGTGGCCGCCATATGTCCCCGAAAAATTAGACAGTTCCGCACTGCATGCAATCTTTGAGCTGCGGCGCTCCATCAATAGCCATGGTGTGGTATATCGGGCCAACGACTCTGCGAGTTCCCCGGTGGTCACGATGTTGCCCTGGAATTTCAAAGTGACACAGGCACTTGAAACCCGATGCTCCCTATTGTTGGTGGCTTGAGATGTATGATGTGGTAGCGACATCCCTTTCGAGATGACCGTTACCAAGCTCCTTATTACTGTTGTTACTGTTGTTCCAATGCGCTCTTGAACCACTTTTCGTGGACTTGTTCGACCTCTGTTGGTATGCGGTGGATTCGGTGTGGACAATTCTTGGACCGGTATATGACTTCGAAGGATTGACCGCTGGCACTTGGCGACATGCTTCTGGAAAAGCCAGAAGAGGCACTACCTGTGGTTGTTTTTACATGGACGGTGTCACTACAGCTGAAGCTCCCAGGGACTTACCATTCCACCCAGATAATAGCTGTTTATGGACAAGCCAGGCGTCAGGAACTACTCGATGTAGACCTTGATGCGACAGATGCGGGCGAATGCCCACAAGAAGTTCCTTGGGATTTGAGCTGTTCAAAGAGTGTGGAGCAAGCACCGTAAAAACAAAAAGCCACAATCAAATCATCCACGCTCGGCCTGTCGCTTAGTTGACAACAGACGACAACGAGCTGAAGCAATGCGGTCCAAATTGCAACCGTTAACCGACCAACAGTTGGTCCCTGAGTCACAGGCACCAGCTTTCTCCGGCTAACGTCCTGACGATCACCCAGCATCCTTTTTGCTGGCCTCGTTGGATCACAGGAATGAGAAGAACAAATCATCATACAGGGCCAGGGAAAATGCTACTCTGGAACTTCTGATGCCCGCCTCGATTTTGTGTAGGTGTCTCGAAATGTACTTCTCATGGCTGTACTAACTGTTCTAGTATTCAATTTAACCACGCCGACACTACCTTACTGAAGTTATAAACATCTACCGTGTCTACAGTGGCTCATACGACATTTTAACGAGTCCTCAGTCAAAGACAGCCACCAAAACAACCCCCTTTGGTCACCCTCTTGCCCAGCTGTGGCAGTCCTCGACCCTGTCGGAGATAGCCGTATTCACTACCCTCTTCGTGGCATGGAAGCTGGAGCGACCAATCTCCGTCGTTCCTCGTGATGACACAGACGGCTAAACAACATGTCGACACCGAAGGAATGTAGCTGTTGAGGGCAGCAGGGCAGATCTCGGTACGAGCAAGACTTGAAAGATGCGCACAAATCCTCGCGTTGCATGACAAACGTTGGGCTACGAATGCCGGAGCCCAACTTCATGTTCACACTTGAATGCGGAGTGGTGACAATCCTCTCGGAAGCGGTTAGGAGGTTATAGCTTCATTGATGATTCTATTTCTATGTATGGTAGATCATATGCGAGAGTCTATTGTGATTCGAGGGGCTATGTTGTGAGCAGTCGCGTGCCAGTTCCACCGAAGAACCAATTTAGGTTTCTTCCTTTGGCAAGGGTTTCTGCCCGACCTACTGCTTCATACGGTTTGGGCCGAACAAGAAGGTTCCTTGTCTAAGAATGGAAAGCTAGAAGAGATAGCCCATTACGACCAGGCGTCATGGGCCCATGGCGGCGAATGTGACCCTGAGAATCCGCTTTCTGATGTTGACCAGGTCGAAGAACCTGCTGAGACAGACCAACTGTGCGGAAAAAGCATAAAGACCCTAACCATGTTCTGCTCGCAGCTGGCAGGGACATATGCGACAAGGTGCTGGAGTTTCATGGCTTGGGTCTATATATATGAGATTAATTCTCATACTCCCCTTCAGCCAAGGTATCCGAAAGTGATAACCCAGCCCAAGATGATCTTGAGCCAAGCCAAAGGTCGTGGTCCCGAATCAGTGGAAAAACCATCTCGCTTCACTAGGGCAGTCCTCGATTGTTGAGATAGACTGTCGGTATCGAGATCGCTACCTATCTGTATGTAGGTATTACAAAGCTCCGGGAAGCTGTTTCAGTTTAATATCAACACTCCATCAGCCTTTTCCGACTCAACATAATCTGCTGGGTCTTCTGCTTGTTCGCAAGCTGCGTAACGGATAGAGCTGGCAACACATTTATGGTAAGTCTTCTTTTGCTTACGAGGATAGAAGGAAAGACTGGCTTACCCATGGTAGGATACGCATTTGACGATAAGATTCCACTTCGCTCAAGACAGCGCGTGTTTCCGAAGGCCACGAAGAAATTATCGATGAGCGGCTGCTATTCGGCTATCAGGCTAATACTCATTAACGCCTCGATACTTGGACCAAATTCGCCATGACACCCGAAAATGACGACGTCCAGTGGTGGAGGAGGGAGAAAGGTTTCCGCTACGGCAACACTGATTGCTTGGACAATTATAACGACAGCAGTGACAACACTACTGTGTTTCCTTGCTGGTGGGGTGGGTCAGTAGGGGGGGGATATCAAACTTCTGGCCATGTTCAAAAGGTATGCCTGACGGCGAGGTGGTGGGACGAATGATTGTATTCGGGAACGTGAGGTGCTTCCTTATGCCTCTGTTATCGCTGCCCTACCATGTACTCTTAGCTGCACACACGCAGCACCAGGCTGCCCCTCTACATCAATTGTACAACAATTTATCAGCCAGTCACCATTTCAAATAGTTTGTAATCAATTCCTATACATCCTTCCATAGCTATGGTATATTAAGCTTATCGGTTATCCGTGTCGGTCCCTGGTGTAATGGCCTCCCCTCACGTGGAGTCGGGCCTCGGCTGCGTTGCTTCTCCGCATTCCCCAAGTATCAATCAACAACACCATTCCCTCTTTCTCTCCTTCTCTTTTCAACCTCAAGTCCCAAGTAATACCCACCAAAGCCAAGGATCAACATGTCTGACTATCAGTCCATTGCAGCTCGCAAGCAGCAGCATTTGGAATCCCTCATTCCCCCGGAATGGCGTCTCGACGCCTCACAAATCCCCGCGGGGATGCTCTCCGTCGCCGACTCCGTCACCAACCCTTCCTACAGCGAGAGCATCAACGTCGTTGACATCCCGCGAACTTGCGGACTACTCACTCCTCATGAGCTGCACATCACCGAAGACTACGACATCCGCTCCCTCCTGACAGAACTCCATTCCAAACGTCTCACCGCGGAAGAAGTCACCCGCGCGTTCTGCAAGGTATACCCAACTCCATAGGGGTACATCACATCACTAACCTCACCTCATCCCAGCGCGCCGCCATCGCCCAACAACTCTCTCGCTGCCTCTCCGAACCTCTCTTCACCCAAGCCCTCGCCCGCGCCCGCACCTTCGACACCCACCTCCGCACCACCAACACCCCCATCGGCCCACTCCACGGCCTCCCCATCTCCGTCAAAGACACCTTCCACATCACCGGCGTCGACGCAACCAACGGTCTCGCCGCCCTCGCCTTCCACCCCTCCACCAAAGACGCCGACCTCGTCACCCTCCTCCAATCCCTCGGCGCCATCATCATCACCAAGACCAACGTCCCCCAAACCGTCTCCACCCTCGACACCGCAAACCACCTCTTCGGCCGCACCCTGAACCCCCTCAACCGCCGCCTAACCGTCGGCGGCAGCACCGGCGGCGAAGCCGCCCTCCTAGCCCTCCGCGGCACCACCCTCAGCTTCGGCACCGACATCGGCGGCAGCGTACGCATCCCGCCCATGTGCGTAGGCAAATACGGCTTCAAGCCCAGTCACGGCCGACTCCCATACGGCGGCCAGCAAGAGGCGGGTCACCTGCCAGCGAAGAACCGCATCGCATTGCAGCCTGTGGCAGGCGTGATGGGCCACTCCGTCGAAGACATAGGGTTAGCATTGCGGGAGATCGTGCCCGGGGCAGAGCTGTTCGGAGAGGACTGTATACCGGGGAACTGGGGACCTTCGTCATCATTATCCCTATCACCAGCCAAGCAGAAACAGAAACTAACCATCGGCATCCTCCGCACCGACGGCCTCGTCGAACCCCTCCCTCCAATCCGCAACATCCTCAACGAAGTCGCTACCATCCTGCACCATCATGACATCGACCTCATCGACCTCCCCACCCCACCCGCCCTCCGCAAATGCCAAACCATCGCCAACAAACTCATGGGCATCGACGGCGGTAACCTCATGCACGACCTCCTCGAACAGACCAACGAGCCCCTGATCCCCTGGCTCCAGGGCCGCTCGAAGCGCCGCAACCCCTTCACCGTACCGGAACTATGTGAGCTGCAGCACCAACGAGCACAGGTCCAGCGTGAGATGATGACCATGTGGACGTATACCTCCCCCACGGATAACCAAGGGAACGAGAGGACGAAGAGGAGAATAGACGCAATCATCCACCCCGTCGCACCGCACCCCGTCCCCGAACACGACAAGTATAATGCAGTCGGGTATACCTCGTCCTGGGTACTGTTGGATTACCCGGCGGGAGTGGTGCCGGTGCGGAAGGTGAAGATGGAGGATTTGGAGGTGGGGAGGGAGATGAAGGATTCGGTGAGGGGGAGCTGGGATGCGAAGAATCGGGAGTTGTGTATGTTGTCCCCCATTCACTCTGATCATAAAGTGTTTGTTTCGGTGTTGTGCTGACCAGTGGATGATGGTGTACAGGGGACGAGAAACTCGTCGATAGACGCATATATCTTGATTCGCCGCTTAGCGTGCAGGTCATTACCCCCAGATTGCATGATTATGAACTGGTCGTGGCGATGGGGGTGGTTGATCGGGCTGTCAAGGAGTATTATTCCAAGAGTCAGGATATAGCGAAGCTATAGATAGATAGATATTACGAAGCATCTCCTAGATGTATATATGCATATACATACATACATACTACCAACCCTACACCTCACCCACCTCTTCTTAGAGAGATAAAAGAGAGAAGAAGAAAAAGGACCCGAACAAAAGAGGGGAAGGGAGAAAGGAGGTCAAGATTAATACCTCGAAACATCCCTCCCAAAAATCTGATTCAGCAACCACCTAAACCCAACCCTCAATTTATTCCTCCAACTAATACTCATGGTCAAATAGGCCGAATTCCACACCACCCAAGCCATCCGTCCCGTCAACCCCTCGGGTAAATACCTCCCACCATCCTCTTTATTATCATGCGGGATCTGCATCAACGCCTTCGCATCCCCTATATACGCCAACGTCCCCATGTTCCGGAACGAGAAGGGCGGCGCCGTCGCAAAGTCATCTTTGTTCAGCCGCGTCGCGAGCCACTTTGCTTCTTGGAAAGTCGCTTGCGCGGTTGCTGGGGGTGCGCCGGTCTCGGGCATGGCGTTGTCGCCGAGGGCGTAGACGTCTTGGAGGATTGCTGTTTGGGGAGGGTTACTTTCGTCGTCATCGGAGGAGGAGGAGGAGGAGGATTCGAGTTGCACGCGGAGGTGGCCGTCGACCAGGAGGGCGCCCACTTTGGGGGCTTTTTTGACGTGCCAGGTTGTATTGGTGTTAGTTGTTGTTGGTTGGGTGCTAGATGTACTGGAGGTAGGGGGTTTCAGAAGGGCAGAGTTGGAGGGATACTTGTCGACAGTTGTCAGGGCGTCGCGGACGAATTTGTTCATGGCGTTCCCTGTAGCCCAGACGCACATGCCGACGCCGACTTCGCCTTCTTCCGCTGTGGTTAGGGTGAGGCAGCGCTTAGGGTCCATTTCGTAGGGTGGTTCAGCGCCGGGCTCGCCCCATCGGAGGCTCTGGACGTGGTGGGAGGGTTTGATCTCAATGCCTTCCTTTTGCATGGTGTCCATGGCGTATTGGGAGAGTTTCTCGTCAAACATGGAGAGGACTTTGGGGGCGATGTCGTAGAGAGTGATTCTGGGAATGCCTTTGAGGGCTGGGTAGAGGGCGACGAGGTCCTTTACGATGAAGTCG